AACGATAATTATGTTTTCTCTCGAAATCGAGATGAATATAATTACGTAGAAATTGATTTTATTCTCTATACTTTTCATGCCGAGTAATGAGATCTCTGCTCAACCGCGTGTTTATTTAAGAATTTATACGTACATAGAAAATTGCATGTACAATAAAATAATTATCTTTCGTACGATTTACGAGTACATTTCGGACGAAGTAGAATCAATAAAACATGCGGGATACAGCAACGCGAAATAGCTTAGTGGGAAAACAAGCCGATGATAGTGACGTTGAAAACGATGGCGAATCTGTATAATATAAGTGAAGCGAAATCCGGGTGAAACACGCCTCGCCCGGAAACACGTATTGCAAATTCCGACTCTTTCCGTCGTTGCGTCCGTCCGGCGCGAATATCGAACGACACGAAAATGGAATATTGATATTTCGAATATACGCGACTATACACGAGTGTGAAAGCCACGGCAGAAATACGTATGAGATGCATAAATACAGTCGCACGTACAATTCTGTATCCTCCGCCCGTCTAGTTTCCTGTTTTTCTACTTATTCTCGCAGTGTATCGCTTATATCATCATCCTCTTTTCTTGTATCATTTCATCGCGCTTTTTTTTTTTTTTTTCGTTTCCCGAAGATGTTTAAAATAATGGATACCTCTTAAATAAGAAAAATAATAGCAATTTAGTGTGTCGAAATATATAGTTTTGCTGTTAATTATAAAAATTATAAAGTTACATCACAAATTGCGTATTCTTTACTATTAAAATAGCTTTAAAAATTTTTTTAGAATATTATGAAAAGAATTTAAAAATTTTTAATAATAATCTTAAAATTTTGATGAATATATAAATCTTAAAATCTTTTTAAACATTGTAATTAAAATTTAAGTAATATGTACGTGAAATTAATTGACATTAGAAAATTTGGTAGATCAATAAATTTAATTAATAGTGCGGAATTATATCTGTTTATTATGCGCAGTTATTATGCAATCGAGCTAGAACAACATTATTTTTCCATGCATCGTAAGTTTAATAGCGCGTCGTTTAGAATTGTTTTGCAGCATTGACGATTACCACTGATGTCTATGTAACATATCTCTATTAAAGTCCAATGTTATAAATCCTCTCAGAAACATTATATCGGTAAGAAATGAGGCGCGCAATTATTTAATCCGCAGCATTTAATACTGACACAAATCACTATTTACTTCTACTGAATTATTCAGAAACATTGCTTATCAAAATTGTATCTATAAATCCGATTTTTGTTTGCATTTCGATTAATTTGAATGAAGTAAATAGAAGATTCTGTAGAATATAACACATACACACACACACACACAAATTATGTCTGCATAAATAAAAACTTTAATAAAGCAATTTAGGAATAATAAGGGACTTTTTTTAGAAATAAAGAAAGATCTTACAAACATTTCCTTTTGATAGCTTCGGAGCATGAATGAATACGAAAGGCCGCCACATATCTACATGAACTCTTCATTTCGATATTGTATTATTCAAGAGTATTTGTACAAGTTACCGCTGTATTATAATATTTACAATGGTCATTTTGGAAAAATAAATTACGTTAATGAAAAAATAAAAACATCGGTTGTTATATAGATAGAATTGTAATTCCGTCAAATTGAGCATAGTAGAGAAAGATACTGATTTTATGCTGATAACAGGATCCATTATGGAGCATGCAGAATTCCAAATTTCAATAACCCGTCAATCTGATGCACCAACTTATAATAACAATAGAAAGCGCAGAAGTTGTGAGCATATGTCTTAATTTTATCTGTTTTTATATATCATAAACTTTTTTATAATCTATTAACATAATCTTATAATTTTTTTCAATTAATCATAAATGAAACATCTTTCTGCCAAGGAAATATCCTAAACAATTTTAAATAATAAAAAATATATTAAAACTTTTTTCGCACAAAATGAAATGTTTATATTAAAGAAGCTTGTAAAACAACCTACTAAAATATAATAGATAAAAATTTCCATATTAAGTAATTGTTATAAAGGAAATGTCACATTGCAAAAGTGTCAAAAACACGCAGTTGACGAGTTCTTATACACATTGATGAAAAGGTAAAAATTATTCATTGACAGAAGGTTTGAATTAATAGTATTATAAAGTTGCTGTTTAAAACTGTTGAATACAAAATTCTGATTTATATTTTGTCACATGTTCTATTTTCGGTAGTCGTAGATTTGATTATCGAGAAAAAATATTTTTACGCAAAATTTGTTCCCTCATTTTTGAGAATGTGAAATGTTATATAGATCCTCAAAAGCGCATAATTTTAAATGCAACAACCAAATGTGTTTGTGGTTTTATTGATTAATCTATATTGATTACTTTATGTTATTCTCTATACTATTAATTAATTTTTGTAGTCTTTTGTCACGAATTAAGCATGCACGTGAACAAGTTTCCCAATATTCCCCATTGGCCCGAATTCTTTTCCTGTTCTTATCTGTTATATTAAACTCAAGCAAATGGATGATCAAAAAGAACACTACACACACTGACATTTTCGATAAGATCAACCGATTGTCGAGCAAGAAGGAAATCTGCAAATTGCGCAAGATTCTTCTAGATAACGATACGGCATCAGAAGATGAAATAGAGATACTCCTTTTGCCCGCCCTTTGAGGTGGAGAGAAATCTAAAAATCTGTGAGCTGCTGCAAGCCCTAGGTGCCAAAAAATTATTGATGCCCAACGTCATCGACAATATCTTCTTGGAAGACGAAGGTAATGCCTCGGCAATGCCTAATATAATCGCAATATAACATGGCTTGTAAATAACAGTTATATTATTGAGTGTGAAATTATAACATTGATGTTATGTAATTGTTACTTTGAGTTTGCTCGGTTACAGTATATATTTTTAAGTATCTTAAAAACATTAGCATGGAACGCCGAAATATGTTGCACAATTTTAAAGTTATGCAATATAATTTTATATAAATATTAATATTAAAATTAATATTTTATATATATAACTTTATGTGAAATTAGAATATGGATTTACATAAAAAAATGGAAAAAGCGAGAGAGAGAGAGAGAGAGAGAGGAGAGAGAGAGAGAGAGAGAGAGAGAGACTGGTTGGCAGTGGCAGGGATGAGGGGGGGGGGGGGAAGGAGGAGAGAAAGAGTTATGTGATTTATTGTAAACTTAAAAATGGTAATCAATCACAAATTTTAAATTATAACATTAAATGTGTTAAATATTTAATTATTGAACATATGGCACATATAATAGTTTACATATAACGTTGGTTTATTACTAATTCTTATAGTTATACAAGCTTATTTTACATATATAATCATTTTTTAATTATTATAATGTATTAATTATATATTAATATATAATATGATCTCTATATATAACATACGTATAATATAATATATAATGTTATAATTTTATACACACACACACACGCACGCACACCCACACGTATACGCACACGCAATACGCGCGCACGCACAGACACACACACACACACACACACACACACACACACACGCACGCACGCACACGCACACATGCATATATAAATTTTTCAACCCCGTTTTTTTTAAAGTCTCACCCCCTAAGTTTTTTCTAACTTTTTTAAAACTAACACCGGAAAAAATTCGGGTAATTCGCATAATTCTAATTAGTGCCCCAAAGGCTGTGAATGGCATCATTTATATTAAATTATTTATTTCATTCATTTTCGAAATGAATTTAATTTGACTCGACAGGAATTACAAGGATTGAGAGATATTTGTATATTTATTGTAAAGATATACATAAAAGCTTGGAACAATGGTCCTTTAGCCTGCAAAGCACCGTTCCAGGATTTGATGTTTCTAAAAGACCTTTTACAATAAAATAAATAAAAAATTTCCCAAGCAACAAGAAAATTTTGTGGTCATTTATGGTATCTTACCGAGAAAACAGTGGCTTTAGCATTTTTTGATGATACAGTGCCTGTCAAGCAAAAAGTAAAGATGGCCAAAGCATTTAAAGAAAAAGAATCAAATAATAGCGACTCCAAATGATTAAATGTTTGTTTTGAGGAAATGACCGAATTTACACACAAAGAACTACATAATTTTGTGTCAAGGAGCACATCTAATTTTTTTAGACGATTTAAAATATTGTTCGATTTTATTGCTCGTGATCCTGCGATCTGGAATTCTCTTCATAATTATCAACATGGCCTTACAATAATCAAAAACCTTACAGTTGTCAATAAATACTGCAGAAAGAGGTGTGAAGCTTATGGAAGAATATAACAATCTTATAATCCAAGGTGAAAAGCAAAAGCAATACCTATTGCAAACCGTAAAAGACTATCAGAGCCATTTTCCATCTTGTTTAAAGCATTCATTATCAAAACAATATTAAACCTTTATTATAATTTAGTGTAATAAAAACTTGTTTTTAGTAGGCAATTGTAGACCTCACTTTAGTTGTACTTACTTTTAAATAATAATCCTAAATATCCTATATACTCCCTAAGTTTGTTATAAATTTAAAACAAAATTAATAAAAATGTTATTGTAAAAATTTAGGAATTAATAAATTATTTAACTTTTCACCCTCCTTGAGGCACGTGTTAGGGTTAAATAAATTTTCCAAAAATTTTATCAGTTACTTACTAATCCAAAAAAAAAAACAGGGGGTAAGACTTATAAAATATAAAATTAATTTTTTTATAGTATATGCTAAGGACCGCCTTAATATATATATATATATATATATATATATATATGTGTGTGTGTGTGTGTGTATTTGTGTGTGCGTGAACATATCATTTTATTAATTAACGTAAAAAAAATTAAAACCAATCAATATATATTTTAAAATATATAGATTATACATTTAGGTGCATTTATTATTTAACAAGCATATTTATATATTCATACATTTATATTATTATATTATATCTAACAGTAAAATATATTGTAATATTATATGGCTACTTTCTTGTGACAACACAGATAATAATATATCATTGAACTACTTCATACAAGTTCGTAAAAACAATGAAAAACTTTTGATACATACAGTCACGAAGTTTAGTAAATACAAAGGCATCGAATAGTAATACATCTAAATAAACAATAATAGTTAAATCAGTAAAATAAAAAATACATACAATATAAAAAAATTATTCATATGAAGTATATCCATGCGTGCAAAGCTGCAATTTTTTTAATTTCACACGAAGAAAAACCTATGATACTGTCTCTGTCTTTCAATTTGACTTTTGCGAATTGATATCTTGCTTTCAGCTTTGTCAGACTTCAGCATTATGGAATCCTAATAGATATAAACATAAATTTGCACAATAAAATCAATATACTGTTTATATAATAAACAAAACTAATATAAAATTAATACGCAGAAGTTAATAAGCAAGATAGAACAATATTTATTTTTCTTTCGACTTTCATAATAATATTTATTAAATTTACCATTTCTCTTATTTTATCAAAAATGTCTTTGCATAGGCTTTCAACCATTTAACGTGTTCGTTTATTTCCTAAAATGTATTATTTTTAACATTATTAATAAACAACATAAATATAACATTATCAAAATTATTTAAACATTAAATAATAATTATTAACATTGCATTATTATTACATTTTGTATACATATATAAACATGTAAAATTTTTACCTAGTTAGAAGATTTACGGAATATACGTTATTAATAATAATAATTAATGCTGTAGTTATATTAACATGTCTAAAAACAAAGAAACTAATGTATATAAAACACAATAAATTTTGTACAAAATATTATAAAAATATGTCACATTACTTTGGTTTTATGTTCACAAAATCATTTAATATGTCCTTTAGAATAGTTGGATTCTTCGAATGCTTCGTAATAATATATAAGAAACTATTAAAAAAATATTGACTTTCTTTTTTGCTAATATATTGATATCTCAAATACTTGAAAGTTATATTAGTATCTTTATTGCAAGCCAAGTATTCTACAAATTTAGTGTCAGATTTTCTAAATCCTATGGCATACATTGATTGCCAAGTCTTGTTCGTGGCTATCATCAAACCTTTACAATATGTCCATTCCTTCCACCATGGCAAAACCCTATAACATAAAAAAATTAAATTTTCTTATTAAAAACTAGCACATAAATATCTTGATCAAATTATTTAAAATATAGGCAATACCTACGGAGAATTTGATTAAGAAAAGCTAATAATATATAACAATAGTTACTTGTGTTTTTCAAAATCTTGGAGATGTTGTTCTAATTTATTGTTGGCTTCTTTCTTACAAGTGATGTCATCAAGAAGACATGCCCATCTTGCAGCTTCTTGTCGTAAACATATTCTAAGTTTGTCTGTATCATCAATTTCTTCATATTTGATTTTTTTAAGCACCTCTTGTAATGCGTACTTTACTATTAACTAAAAATCGTAAAAAATATATATTTATTTGTTTATATTATAAATGTATTTAAAAATTATTTAATTTTTTTATTATTTTTCAATAAATTTTAAATATTTTCTTTTTCTATAAAACGAACATACAAACAAATTCACTTATAGACGCTAACGTTTATTTATTCACGTACATATGTATACGTGCAAATATACATTTATAATATACATGTACGTAAAAATAAGGTTTAATTTGTGCGAAATGTATATAATATTTAATAGATATTAAAGTTTCATAACTACATATTTATCTATCGTATTTTATTTTAAATAATGTATAAAAATATATTTTTGAGAAATATATAATTAAATTTCTCCAACTATATATGTTTTATTTTTTTAAATTACTAACATGTACTATTTTTAAAGTTACCAACATGTAATATTTATATATAGCTAATATAATTGTATTTATTGACAAAGATTTTATGCACCTAGCTATACATATATCCAATAACAAAGTTATATACTAATAATATCGGCAGTAGTGAAAATCATAGACTTTTCGGATAGTTCTTCAGGTGAGTAATTATTCAAACTGAATTTGTTTGCACATTTGTTTGCGACGTAATAGTACGTAAAATTTTATCGCTGCTGGATATATTTTTCTAAGTATTTAAATTATTTGTGATCAATGGGTGTATATGTAAATATTTAAATTGTAATATTTTCATCAAAATTTATTAATATCTACCGTAAAATATTCAGTTTTTTCTTCCAACACTGGAAAAGCACTACATATATATTCCAGAGCTTTAAACAAAGGATACCATGCTATATAATCTTCTTCTTGATGCAAATACGATGTGATGTTCCAAAATATATAGGAACGGAGATGGCCTGCTATCATTAAATTAAATGCATCATCGATAATTTGGGCACGATTAAGAACATGAATTTTTTTGTAATTCAAGGAGTGTAGATAATCTGTAATTCTTTGCCAATTTTCTTTATCATAGTTAACGCGATAATATCCTGTCAAATAGTAAATAAATTTTATCAATTCTTATTGTTTTGAATAATTTTATCATTAATATACTTATTTTCAAACTTATTTCAATTTTTGTATTATACTTTCTTTATATAAATTATAAATCAAAAACGTATGAAAAATTTAATATCGTCTATAAATAAAATGCAAATGCATATAAAAGATTAATTATAAAAATGTCATCCTAATACTTGAAATAGTAGTAAAAATTAAACTGTGCAAGATATTGTTGTATATCATATAATAAAATTGATTCTAGTTGTGCTTAAATAATAGTTATTTAATGCTAACCGATATAATTTTTATGAAATGTAACGTTGCGAAAATTGTATGTTACCTGTACTTATTATTATTAATTTATAAATATAATTATCTTTTTAATAATTTCCACGATTATTAGAATAAAATATTTCTAAAAATGTAACATTAATATTGATGGTGTTATTTAGAAAACGCGTATATCCTACACGTATAAACTACGTATATATTAGATATAATACATATAATGATTTGATATATGTATATAATGATATTATAGATAAAAAAATATTAGTAATATGTATAATGTAGGTTACGTTTGTTGTTATAGAAGATGGAAAATGGGATTAAGATGATAGAGAGAAAAAAGAAAGTCATAAATTACGTATATAAGGAGGAGCTGAAGGAACTGAATTTTATGGTGAAGAGACTGGTGAATGTAGTGGAGAGTTGTGGTATGGAGGATGGAAAAGAAAAAAACGGAAAGAAAGAAAAATGAGGAAGTACGTTAGAAAGAAAGGAAGGTGGAAAGGAAGGAACTGTTATTGGAGCAAAGATAAAAAGAAAGGAGAAAAAGAAGGTGAAGAGAGTAAAGTAATATGTGGTGGTAGTGAAGAGGAATGATCAAAAAAGGAGAGGAGAAAAAAGGGTTAAGAAGTGCGGAGAAGGCGAGGACAGTGTGAGGAAAATGTAGTGGAGAGAAGGAAAAGGAGTGAAGAGAGAAAATTAGAAAAAAGGAGAAAAGAAGAAGTAGTGAAAAGGAAGAAGAAGAAGAGAAGAAAAAAACGTATTACGAGGTGGTACCGAAAGTGATAAAGGAAGAATTAGTAGTATAATGTAGTGAAGAAGTAAAAGAAGAGAGAAGGTATAAATATGGTCGAGAAGTGTGGATGTAAGAATGAAAATGAAGAAAGAATAGGTGATTAAGTAGGATTATAGAGTTGATGGTGGAGATGTCGGGATGGTGAGAAAGAAGAATAAAGGAGGTTTGACGAGCAGAAAAATAAGTATTACGAGAGGAACGAGAGAGGATGTAGTGGTGGGAGAAGAAATACGGTTGTGGAAAAGAGAGTAGAAAGGAGAAGGGCTAGGAGAGGGACGGAAAAGGAGGTAGTGGCAGAAGAAGAGATACGGATGCTGGAGAAGAGAGTGGAGAAGAAAAGAGAGAGAGACAAAAGGAGGCAGACGAAAAGGAGAAGTAGAAGAAGAGAAAGAAGGAGGTGGAAGAAAAAGAGAAGAGAAGGAAAAAATATTGAAGAAGGGGAGGGATATTTATTGTAAAAATGTAGGTAGTGGTGGACAAAAAAAATTTTTTGAGAAAAGGTGGATAATGAAGAAATGTGGGATTGAGATAAATGTGGGCTTGATGACGGTGAAGAGGTAGGTTAGATGGTGGCTGGAGAAAAAAATAGGAAATGAGAATAGAAAGAGGAGGATCTAGGAGATAAAAAGTTAGAGATAGAAGGAGGGGAGGGTGGAGTGGAATCAGGAACGGAACGATTAGGAAGGGTGAGACAGAAGAGAGTAGAAAGTACGTTTTGTTTTTTGTTAAAGGAATAAAAGGAAAAAGAAGACGGAGGTTAAAGTCAAAAAAAGAAGAAAGAAGAGAATAAGAAAATGGCAATTATGGGTGTGTAAAATAAGGACGAGAAATAAGACATAATAAGTCCCTTGGTCGATATTTACCAATTTGTTGTATATTGAATATTATCCAACCATTTTTATTAAATGGTAATGATAATTTCAAATCTTTTGGCTTGCATACCATATGATGAGTAAATTTGTTAAAATCCAAAGACGTTTGCGTAGTAAAAGTTACAGAAAGGCAATCAATTATTAATTTGTCGATATTTTGAATCGATACATTTGCTTCGTTTCTAATATAATTTTGTGTTATTTCTATGATAGGACAATACGTTTCTATATGCCAATAATTGATTATTTTTACAGCTGTATATGATTCGTCTGCACCAGCAACAATTTCATCCCAAAAATTAATCCCAATACTTTGATGATATAATTGGTCAAATTCACACAGTATGTAAAATATATAAAAAAATTACCATTACGTTAATATTATTTGTATGATGCTAATTAAAAAATTTCAATAAATATTAAAAATCAGAACATAAAATTGCACTTCTATTTATATACTTATATATTTTATATTTATATTATGATAATAAAGAATATAACATAATTTTAAATAAAAGAGTGATGGCAAATTTTGTCCATTTTTGGGACCTCAGATTTCAAACTTTTTTTTATGCCAAATAATACTATTAGATAATATATTAATCACAGTAAAATTTCAAGACGAGCATAGGTACGGTTTTGGAGACGCAAGAGGGATAGTGATGATTTTCAGTCAGTTTTATGAGAAATTATCACCTTCACTTCTACATATTTAAGAAACCATGCCTATGCTCATCTTGAAATTTTTGTGGGATTAATGTCTCATCATATAGTACTATTTGGCATAAAAAAAGTTTGAAATTTGAGATCCCAAATTTCGACCATAGAAAATGGGCAAGAAAACAGTTCTTTTTGCTATCACTCTTTATTAACTTTATTATAAATTTTTTAGGCATTATTAGCATTAATAGAGATTATATTTGAGTAAATTATTGAGAGAGTTATAAAATGATTAAAAAAAAAAAAATAAAACAAATGAGAATTGAAGACAAAACGAAAAGAAAAGAAAAATAACATAAAGAAAATCGTTTTACGAGAGACGAAAATATAATAGAGAAGAAATGGAAAAAAGATGTAAAGTGTTAGATATTTAAAAACCCGATAAATAAGATTAAAAAATAAATGTAGCACAAAATGCAATTAAAAGAAAAAAAATTATTTGAATTATAGACCATATGAAAAAAGAAAAGAAAAAATAAAAAGAGTAAAAACAATTTAGAAATTATTTAACACAAAAAATAAGAGACATTTTATAAAACCTCTATTATTAAACATTATTTATATTACATAATTATATTTTTCTGATATTATATTTTATATTGAATTACTCACGTGTTATATACATATGAGCGAATGCCTTTCCAAAATGTTTCTTCGGTGAGAGCGTGTTGCAACATGCGCAATATAAAGGGTGCTATGATTTAAATCAAAATTATAAATTAGATATATTATAAATATAAATATATATTTACTATAATGATTACTTGTAAACATAGTGATTTTTTAAAGAAAAATGATATATTTGTATACCGGATAATAATGGCGCAAGGGTGAAATGTTTCTTTATTGTCGCACTGTTATGATTCTATTTAATGAGTAAACTCATTAATACTTACAAAGATAGCAAAACTTTAAAGGACCATCCAATTAATTCCCTCTACCGACATATGTGTGGGTATTATCAGACACTTTGTGTGTGTGTGTGTGTGTGTGTGTGTGTGTGTGCGTGCGTGAGTGTGCGCGCGTGTGTATTACATTATCCATATAGCTTATTGGTAATGAATATTGCAAGAAATTGATTTAAAATAATAAGTAAAACAATCAAAAACAATCCAATAATAAAAATAGAAAAAGACCTTAACAAAATTTAAAATAATGGTTAAAAAATGAATGGATCACAAAAAAAGACTATTATTGTTTAAGTTCCAGTGATTCAGTGCTTCCTAAAGCATATGGCTTGCCCAAAATTCACAAGGAAAATGTTCCATTCAGAGTAATAGTATCGTCGGTCAATACAGCACTACATCATTTAGCTGCATATTTACACAACATTTTAGTGACAAGTTTACTCAAAGGGAAAAGTCATGTTAACAATAGTTTTGAATTGTGCAACGCTTTGTCTGATCTTAAATTAAATAACAATGAAACAATCGTATCTTTGGATGTGATATCGTTGTTCACAAATGTTCCTGTGGACCTTGCAATAGACAGCATAAATAATAGATGGCATTACATTGAAAACCACACATCAATAGACAAAAATGAGTTTGTTAATGTAATTAAATTCATTTTGACTTCAACGTACTTCACATTCAACGAAACGATCTATAAACAAATACATGGAACTCTTATGGGATCGCCTTTATCTCCAATTATTGCGGATATTGTTATGCAAGATATAGAAACTAGGATTCTTGAAACTATAAAGGTTAATATAAGGTTTTACTATCGCTACGTCGATGATATCTTGCTTTGCTTGCCGGAAGATCAAGTCACATATCTAGTAGAAAAATTTAATGATTGTCACGATAGATTAAAATTCACAATAGAAAGAGAGGATAACCGTAGCATAAGTTTTTTAGATATCTCACTCAAAATTATAAATAACATAATATACATAGATTGGTTTCAGAAAAAAACATTTTCGGGTAGAACACTCTCATATCATTCAAATCATCCTATATGCCACAAAAAAAGTGTAATATATAATTTAGTAGACCGGTCAATATTATTATCACATCCCCGTTTTCATAGTAAAAATTTAACATTAATCATAGAGATTTTATTGAGCAATAGTTATCCTCTTGATCTCATTTTCTCAGAAATCAATAATAGACTGAAGTTCCTTATTGTTAATAGATTAAACAAAGAAATGACTCAAGATATAAATAACGAAATCATAAATAATGACAATAATAAAAAATTCATAGCGATACCTTATATTGAAAGAATCTCGGAACTAGTAGCATCAGAATTAAAGAAATCAAATATAACAGTAGGATACAGATGTCTAAAGAAATTAAACAGAGTCATAAAAACGCAAAAAGACAGAGATAAGCTCCAAAATAATTCGGGGGTCATATATAAGATTTCATGTAATAATTGTGATGCTACATATGTAGGACAGACGAAAAGACAATTAGGTACAAGAGTAAATGAACATAAAAATAATATTAGATTGGATTCAGCAAGGCACTCGGTGGTTTCTGATCATATTGTAAAATTTACACACAATTTCAATTGGAACGACACAAAAATCCTAGATTATGAAAAGAATTATTATAAAAAGTTGATATCAGAAATGATATATATTAAAGAAGAAAACAACAGTATCAACCTAAAAAAGGACACCGAGCGTCTTGACGGTTCTTATTATGATATTCTAAAAAAATTGTCTACGTCATCTTAAAAATTGGGTATATATACAGCGCGCCGACATTGTAAGATACAGATATCGATTTGTTTTTTAAAAAAGTACACATTGTGATTATGTTAAGTAAAAAGAAATAATTTTTTAAAAAAAGTGTTATGTTTGTTGACAAAAAGTAAGTTAATACTATTTATTAAAAATCTAAATGTAATATTTGAGCGGATATATTAATTTGTTCACAGTGTCGTTACATAATATAATCAGCATCTGACGCTCTAACTCATGCGAACTAACATGAATTTGTACTGCGTTCGTCATATAATCTTATAATTGTTGTATTTATTTATGATGTCGAAATGACTAAATTAATTTTTTAACATATTATTAGGATATTGAGAAAGACTGTCGTACAGTCGAAACGTTTATCTCAACTTTTGTATAGTATGACGTAAATTAATAAATAAATTTTTCAATTAATAGCATATAAGCTCGTTAAGTTGGCCTTTTATTATATCACATATTTTAATTGTATACGAGCCGAAGTTTAATTTATAAAATATATATATTTAAAATAATAAGATTATTTATAATAATTAATAATTAATTAATAAAAGTTAAATTAGATTTATTTAAAAAAAACAGTGATGTATATGCGCGCACACACATACACACACACATGCACACCTACACTTACATACACACACGCGCACGCACATGCGCACGCACACACACGCAAAAGCGCACACTCGCGTAGGTGCTTGCGCGCGCGCGCACACACACACACACACAAATTAATTATTTTAAATATATATACAGAGATTTAATGAACAATTTATTTTAGGGAAAAACGTTTTAGATAAAAGTTGTATAATTTCTAAATACAAACAGGTGATCTCTATTGACATTTTTTAAAGGCTGCTTTAAAGGTTATTTGAAGAATATTTACGTGTTTTTAATGGATTTACTTTAATTATTTTATAAATCGATTTCTCGCAATATTTATTACCAAATTATTAAGTTAAGGATAAAATAATTATAAAAAGAATATTATATTGGATATTTTATATCTTTAACACATTACTTTACATAAACGCAAATATCTCATGAAATATTAATTTTTCGTTAATCATGTTTCAATAATTTTGTATATAAAATAATAAAAAAAATCAATATTTTTGCAAAGAATACCACATAGTTTTCAAGGAAAACTGTATAGCGGCTAGTTGCAAAATACATACATACATATATATATATTGTTTATATTCATAAATACATTAAATATTAATGACAGAATATGCATAAATACGCGCGCACGTATATACGTGTGCGTGAGCGTGTGCATGTACGTTTCGCGATCTTGCGCGCGCGCTTGTGTGTGTGTGTACATTTATAAAAATAAATATTTCATTAAAATTCAGATACATAATTAATTATCTTCTAACTTTACACACACATATTGTAAAGTATTAATAATTAAAAATTTAGGCGGATTATTTTATTATATTACCTCTGATAGTTTGGCGAATTTTCAATAAACTGTCATCTTTTAAAGTAGAAGGCCACATATGATCACCATCCAAATTAAGAAAGTAATGTTGATTTTGAACGACAAATAAATTTATTATTCTGTCATCAGGATAAATCTAGAAAAAAATAATTAATATATTGATATAACCTTTTTGAAAATACTTACATTAAAAACAAAAACCAATATTATTAACGTTATTTCAGTGTTAAAACAAAACATTTTCTCATTTTGAAAAACACATTAAAATAAATATCTAATAATGAAATCTAACATAAATTCCAAAAAATAATAATAGCAGTCACTATTATTTAAATATAAGTTGCAGAAATTAATCGACCAAACTAGCGAGTAAATAATTTATTCTTCACGACGTTTCAACCATGTGATTGTGGTCTTTATCAAGTGAAACACTAAAATATTTTATTACAAAAATGTTATTAACGTACATAAAAAAAATTCACAAATAATCATATCAATAAAACTGGAAACCATAGTTACAAATAAAATAAATTAAAGTTAACACATTATTATACAAATTTAGTGAGTAACATTTCTTGAAATTATATAAGTCAATCAATAGTATAAAACGAAAATATTAAACGTCATAATTCGTCGAAAAATCGTCAGATTCTAATATGTTTTTAAAAAAGAATATTTACACGATCTTAATTATTTTGTTATAAATCTTGTTAAGATTCTCCGTATCCTTTTGTGAGTTTATGTTGTTGTTAAGTTTTTTAATATAGAAAATTTCGGCTAACTCTTTTTCTTAAGTGTTTTTTTATATGTAGAATATTAAATTTTTTCCAATCAAAATCATGTTCAAATTCAGATCGGTGTTTGCTTATAACTGAATGTGAACTATGACGCAATTTAATATTATTACAATGCTTCTTTACCCATGTACTAAAATGTTTTTTTGTTTGTTCTATATACGATGCAGAGCAATTCTTACAGTCAATCTTGTACACGACATTTGTTGCATTATCATTAGATAAAACATCTTTGCCCACCTTTATAATATTATCTAGTTTTTTCGGCAAACAATAAACAACATTAAATTTGTATAATAATGTGTTAACTTTAATTTATTTCATTTGTAACTATGGTTTCCAGTTTTATTGATATAATCATTTGTGAATTCTTTTATGTACGTTAATAACTATTTTTGTAATAAAATATTTTATTGTTTCATTTGATAAAGACCACAATCACATAGTCGAAACGTCGTGAAGCTGAATAAATTATTTATTAATTCGCTAGTTTAGTCAAAATCTAAAATTTTGTATTAATATAATTAGCAAATATTACACACTTTATAATTATTGCCTCATGACATTATATTGCAGACTTATCTTTATCAAATTTATTTAAATAAATATCATGTGTACTAGTTTATATTATTTATTTATTTTATTATTATGATTAATTTATTTTATTTTAGATTTTATAAAAATTAAAAATATCCAAGGAAAGGTATTAAAAATAAAAATTTTTAATAAATAAAATTATAAGTATATGTATGTAGATGTGTGAAAAAAGTATTTTAAAAAAACATTTGATTATTTTATATAATACATAATGTTATTTTTTTTAGACAATTCACAGAATGCGTAAGGATTTTGTAAAAAGAGTTTGATATTAGAAGATCTTGCAATATGAATACATAAGTACTGTATCGTTTGCGAGAAGGTGGGAGCGAGATAGCGTTGAAAATATTTAGAATAACCTTATCAACAGCATACATTGCAAGCAATGTAATAAGACCGTCTTTAAACCAATAATCCGTCACTAACGGATTATTCAGCTTATCATAAAACCATTCTTGTGTCACTTTACATCCTATTAATTGAGCTACTTCGATTTTGTGAGAAATAGGATGTAAATTTTTATCGTCAATAATATCGGTTTCCCTGAAAGTTATATTTAAATGTTAAAAGTGAGAACTTTTATATAAAATAAAACTTAATTTTTATTACGATATTTTAATTTCATTGCCAGATGTACGATTTACAAACTCATGGATACGATTTAGCAAATTAGTATTGTAAATTGTACTAAATAATATTTTTTAATTTTTTAATTTACCATATGAAACTACGATAAATTTAATGTGTATATTGTTGACTGTTAATATGTTATTGTTAATATGACTGTTAATATGTATAATTGTTGACAAAAAACAATAGATTAAAATAAATAAAAAATGTCATTTCTGTTATAGCTTTACTGCAGTTTTAACAACAAACTTAGGGAGTACGATTTAGCATACATACTTTACCCTTTATGCATTTATTAAAACGGTATACTTTAACTTTGTAATTATATTTGTTTTTGCTAATCCTTATTCTTTTGCGCATTTACAGAAACAAGAGGTATACATGTTTTTATTTTATAATTTATAATTTTGCATACTAATATAATTTTATTTTTATTGTAATTATAAGCACTTGTGTGTACTCACTTATAAAAAACAAGTCCAAAAACTATTGTGCCATTGTCACGAAAATTTGGAATTGCAACATGATCCACCTTCGAAATATTGTTCGAATGTTTCCAATTATTATTCAAAAACAACGTGATATCTTTAATTACATTTTTTGCATATTCCATGTGAAATCGAGATTCGTTTCTGCACCATATTGTAATGTTTCGAATTTTGATATCATGACAGGATATGTTCATTATATTTTCAGCTCCAATTTTTACAGTTTCTATGTATATTCCATATCCGCATCGCATTTCAATATTGCGAGTTTTTATATCAATAGGGATTAGGTAATTAGACACAATCATTGTTGCAAGATAAGGCGACGTTGCAGGTGTGGTTCTGAAGTGTGTCCATAACATATTGTACAAATGTTTTTCGGTATTTCGCAATGGCATATTTGACAAAACCGTACATCGCACACACCCTATAGATATGTTAAAGATTGCTTTCAACAATAAATTCTGTTGATACCGACATGAAGACATTCGTCGGGTGCCAATTATATGAAAATGAGAAGCAGCTACCAAACTATACATTTCAGAGGATATAAATAAATGAAACATTTAACAAGTATAAAAATATTTGAAATTAAAAAACATATAAATGTAATATGTAATAATATGCACTAAAAATAAAGATTGATTGTCTCTATATTTAACTTCCATGGTATCTAATAGTTTTTGAAACATTTAATACATAGATAATAAATATTAATTACAACGTTTTATGTAATTGCACATTGTAACTTTATAATAAACATTATTATTTACTTACACAATTTTTTCTTTCACGTTGAAAATTCTAAAGACTTCATCAGCAATACCATGATATTTTATATTTAAGGTGTAATTTCCTGGTGATAACTCATCCATAAAAAAAATATCAATTGTGTCTTCTTCAGTATTATATGTCGGTTTATATACTGCTTCATTATCATTCTCATATTTGTTTAAATTTTTAATTAAAACTATATTTTTAATACATAATTGATCTGAATGTAAATATATGTTCTTCGTTGTGTTAAGAATGCTTATGCTGATATTGCATTCTCCATAGAAAATATTTCCTTCGATATGTGATAATAGCTTGATATCGTAATGGATTGGTTTTATATATTTTGATTGATAGCATAAAGATTCATTACGAGTGAAAGCCGTCGCAGCGATAAAAATTAATCCGCTACTTAATAATAGTTTTAGAAATATTATCATGTCGGCAAAGAAATTTTTATCTTAAATCTGTAAAATACAAATTGAACAAAACATAAATAGAGAAATTAAATATAGCATTTATGTCTTTTTAAATCATTCTTGTGTATACACAAGAAAATAAATACAAGAAGTATAAAAATTATTAATTGGAGAACTATCCTTATTAGTGAAATATTATATGGTGAGAAAGCATTGTGCAAATTTCCGTTTGCATAATTTTTTAAAAATAAAATCATATATTTATATATGATTTATATATGATTTTATTAAAAGAAATATATATGTGTGTATTTCAGTGTCGCACATATAGTAATTGACAGCAATATACAAAAATTAAATTGACAATTTATTGTATATTTTCTTTAAATAATTATTCTTATTTACAAAAAATTGTATACATTTAAAAGTTATAAAATATAAAAGTTAAAATATATAAAATTAGTAGTGTGAAGCAAATTACTTTTATAAACACAAGAACCGGTATTTTTATATAAATATAAGCCTGTGTGTTTATTCGAAATAAAAAGAAAAACAATAGGATTAAGAAAGACTGAGCAGCAGTGACATACAGAAAGAGAGAGAACATGTTTATTATTATTTTCCTTTATAGGTCTGTGTTATCTCTTCACTTAAATTGTGTATTATAAACTCTAAACGGACAATCACTGAGAATAAAACCAGCATAAAATCAATTTTAAATTGTAACAAATATCAGCGAAAATGTCAAAGTATCAATACTTTTTTAACTATTAACGACTGAAATTAAATGGTTATTCGCAAACTAAGCGTTGTGGAAATAAAATATTAATAAAACACATTGATCAATTATATAAATATTTTTTATATATTCTCATCATCGATATACATGTAACATTATTGTGTTTAAATGTAAAAGTAAAAATTAAATTTTAATCATTAAATTTAAGTCCAATAAAATGTTTCAACTTTAATTGGAGCCTTTTTAACCTTATTAAATTGATATGATCTATTGTTTATGCGTTTTTAATATAATATTAACTTATGCGTTTGACCGTTTTATATAAAATATTTTATGTGGCAAATTTTACATGAAATATTTAGTATTCTATTTTTAACTTATATGATTAATATAATTCTACTTATTATATTTATTTCTCACTTAACAAAATTATTTTGTTCACGTTTTTTATAATACATCATAGTTATTATAATGATGTATTCGATATATCCTCTTATTAGAAGATATGTCGAATAAAAATTGAAAGCAATTGTTCTTTATTCTTATTTTTCTTAAGTATATAATCTTCAACAACATAAGTAATATTAGATTCTTTTTTATTGTTACAGCTATTCTATTTAATGTCAACACAATTTAAAAATTATTTTAAATATTAAAATACACAAATATTTTTTATAAAAAATAAGTACGACAAATATTAGAAAACAGAATATTAATAATTTGTAATGAAATGACAATTAGAAGTGTCTGTTATAATATTTATTATATGTTATGTAAATTGTAGTATTTTTAAGTTTCAAAAGTAATTTATTTGATATCATATTTTTGTGAGTTTAAAATTATTTTAACATTACAATTCGTAAAATATTATAATATTGACACTATTTGAAATTATCAATTGATTCAAATTTGAAAATATTTTATAATAAAATTATTTTCTTTATACTTCTATGTTGGAAATTCTTTAAAATTTCGTTATAATGTATAATTAAATTATTTTGGTGTTTGTAGATAAATATATGTTTTCATATTATAATTTTGACTTACCCAGTATTTTGTAACAAAATGTTAATTGGAAAGTTATATTGATAAAATTTATATTTTTTCTGAATTAACTGCAGCAAATTAATGTTTTAGCAATGTGCGCAATGTTGAGGAAGAATACAATTATTCACACATACTTTATTACAATTATTATGTCTACTACGATATGGTTCGAAAGACCACGAAAGACTGACTGATTCTCTATACGTGTCATCGTGATAAATATGCTGTGTTAAGTCAACATAACTTCTAAGATCAATACATGTATATCTGTGTGTGTGTATGTGTGTGTGTGTCGGCATTTGTGAGTAACAGTTGTCTTAATTAAACATTCAATTTTCAGCCGATTAATCAAATAAAATGCATTATTATTTAATTTATATTACTGATTTTGAAAAACATGAAAGCAGTCTTACCAGCGCTCTGTTTCTAATAGTAATTAATAAAACAAAATGTCGCATTTTTTTAACACTGAAATTTTTACAATTAGCAGATAAAAACAAGTATTGTAATTGTTTAGTAAAGAATATGTAATACATCTAAGCATATATCTCTTGAATATTTAACATATGTATAAATTTAATAAAGTTATTAAAATATTTGCGTAAATATTTATGCTTTGGAAAAACAAATATTAATGTTAAAGAAACAAACAGTATAACTAAAATTATTAACTGCCTAAAAAGTAACATGTTGTTAAAAGTACTTTTAAAACAAGTTTTATAAGAAAACAATTAAACAATAGTTTTAATTACAGAAAAATATTTATAGAAAGATATAATTTTCCAGAGATTCAGAATAAAATATAAAAAGTTTCGTTATTTTCCAGAGCTTATTCACAACCTTTTATTATATAATTAAAAAATTTTATATAATTATATATTCATAAATGATTTTGTCATTGGTCTTTTATCCTGTCAGATACTGCTTTCAGTCGAATTTTGGATAACAAGTTGCCCCGTTTTGCTTAAGAATAAAATATTTTGAGTTATGAGAATTATTTTATATAATTTTGTATTGTTGGAAATAAAATAATGTTTTTATATTGATTTTAAGTTAGAATCTAAATATGACACTACTTTTAAAAACAAGGCATTTATTGACATACGTTATATGTATAAACTGTTTCGATAAATAAAATACGCTTCTAAAGTAACAGCGCACAATTGTTATAATAGTTATATCTCGTTGAAAGTAAGACTAGAGTAATTATTATAATTAAAAAATACTTATAAAATTACTAATAATATTATTACTTGATTTTATGTTTGTATAGTATCATTGTAGTAATATTTGTAATAACAATTAAAATATATTAAACATATGGGGCTTTATTTATGAAGTAATCCACTCAAATTTTCAAAGTTTTCCAATCACGCTGAAATTAGCAAAAAGTGTAGTCCTATCTAATCCTATTTTATTTTATAGAAGTAAATATCAATAACTAATTATTTATTTGCAAAAATAGAAGTTTTGTTTTTCTGGCTTTAGATTCGGATTCAGCGTATCAAATTACATTAAAAATGACTTTTGTACTTTATTTGTAAGGAAATAGTAAAAATTTGAATAAAAAAATACATACGATTTTTTATATAACTGACAAAACCAAAGTCATTAATTAACATTTTTCAAAATCGGCACACGGCATAAAAAACTAGATGCTTCAAGCTAAACTTTGGTACCTTTAAAGTTAAATTTACTTCAATACAATTTTGAGCGAGGGGGTGGCCGATTTGACGTGGAATGACCCATACATTATATATTTGTACATGTATATAATTGAATTCATAAGTAATGCATTCTAAAACAAAGCAAGACTATTTTTAATAATTAACTAAGTAGTACAGTCTTGAGTGCACAAATGATTGTTGATATACTAACATTTAAGTTGTATGTTTGTGTAAAGATATATATTTATAAGACACTTTAAGACACTTTAAGTGTCTTTACTTTATATAATATGATCTGTATATGTACCATATATAATACACATAATATATAATATATAATATTATTATTTATTTATATACATCGACACACACACGCGCGCGCGCGCACACACGTGATTACATGTACATATATACTATAGATTTACTATAGATAATAAATAAGAATTTAATAATACATATGAACATAAATATGTTAGCTGTAAATTTTATAATATTTAAATAATAATTCGTTATATACATATATATATATTTGTATATATATATATACATATATGTATTTTTGTATGTGTGTGTGTACGTAAACATATAATTTTATTAATTAATGTAAAAAAATTAAAAACAATTTAATATTTAATTCAAAATATATAGATAATACATTTAGGTGCATTTATCATTCAACAAGCATATTTATATATTCATATTATTTATATATTTATACATTTATATTATTATATTATATCTAAGAGTAAAATTTATTGTAATATTATAGGATTACTTTCTTGTGACAACACAGGTAATAATATATCGTTTAACTACTTTATACAAGATCCCCCCTCCAAAAAAAATGAAAAGTTTTTGATACATAAAGTCATGAAGTTTAGTAAATACAGAGGCATCGAATAGTATTACATCTAAATAAATAATTAAAGCAGTAAAATAAATAATACATACAATATAAAATATTATTCATATGAAGTATATCCCCGCATGCAATGCTGCAATTTTTCTATTTCCAATGCAAGAAAAACCTATTATAATACTGTCTCTGTCTTTCAATTTGATATTTGCGAATTGATATCTTGCTTTCAATTTTGTCAGATTTCAGTATTATGGAATCCTAATAGATATAAACAAAAATTTGCACAATAAAATCAATATACTGTTTATATAATAAACAAAACAAATATAAAATAATACGCAGAAGTTAATAAGCAAGATAGAACAATATTTATTTTTCTTTCGATTTCCATAATAATATTTATAAAATTTACCTCTACTTTTATTTTATCAATGAATTCTTCGATCTGCAACTTTTAACGTAATCGTTTATTTCCTAAAATGTATTATTTTTTAACATTATTATAACATTATCAAAATTATTTAAACATTACATAATAATTATTAACATTGCATTATTATTACATTTTGTATACATATATAAACATGTAAAATTTTTACCTCAGTTAGAAGATTTATGGAATATACATTATTAATAATAATAATTAATGCTGCAGTCACATGAACATGTCTAAAAACGAAAAAACAAATGTATATATAAAACACAATATATTTTTACAAAATACTTTTAAAAATATGTCACATTACTTTGGTCTTATGTTAAAAAAAAAATTATCGAATATGTCCTTTAGGATAATTTGATTATTCGCATGCTTCGTAATAATATATAAGAAACTGTTAAGAAGATATTGATTTTCTTTTTCAAAATTAGATTTATATCTTAAATAGTTTTTAATCATATCAGCATCTTCAGTGCAAGCCAAGTATTCTAAAAATTTAGTGTCAGATTTTTTAAATCCTATATTGTACACAGATTGCCAAGTCATTTCGTGGTATTTATCATCAAACCTTTACAATATGTCCATTCCTTCCACCATGGCAAAAGTCTATAACATAAAAAAAATTACATTTTCTTATTAAAGATTAGCATATGAATATCTTGACCAAATTATTTAAACATTGTAGGTGATACCTACAGAAGAATTTGATTAAGAAAGGCTAAAAATATGTAACAATAGTTACTTGTGTTTTTCAAGATCTTGGAGATGTTGTTCTAATTTATTGTTGGCTTCTTTCTTACAAGTGATGTCATCAAGAAGACATGTCCATTTTGCAGCTTCTTGTCGTAAACACGTTCTAAAATCGTCTCTATCATCAATTTCTTCATATTTGATTGTTTCAAGTACAGGGTATAATATGTTATTTACTCTTTCCTAAAAATCGTTAATTATATATTTATTTGTTTATATTATAAATGTATTTAATAATAATTATATTTTTCTATTATTTTTCAATAGATTCTTAAATATTATATTTTTTCTTTTTCTATAAAACAAAAATACATACAAATTCATTTATAGATGCTATCTATTCACGTACATATGTACGCCCAGATAGCACAAGCTATTCGAAAATAATTTATTTGTACGTCATCAATTTCGAGTGTCTTTTCAAATACATATAGAATTCATTTTGTAAATTGAATTCTATATGTATTTGAAAAAGGACTCGAAATTGGTGACATTCAATAAGGTGACACACAAATAAATTCTTTTCGAATACCTGTGCTATCTGGGCGTGCAAATATGTTATATGTATATGTACGCGAAAATATGATTTAATTTATGCGAAATGTTTATAATATTTAATAGATATTAAAGTTTCATATACTATTTATTAATCATATTTTATTTTTAAATAAGGTATAAAATATATATTTTTGAGAAATATATAATTAAATTTTTCGAACTATATATGTTTTATATTTTTTAAATGACTAACATGTTATATTTATATGAAGCCGATAATTGCATTCATTGACAAAGATTTTAAGTATCTTGCTATACATATATCCAAATACAATGTTATATACCAATAATATTGGTAGTAGTAAAAATCATAGACTTTTTGGACAGTTCTTTGGGTGAGTGATTATTCAAACTGAATTTGTTTGCACATTAGTTTGCGACTTAATCGTATGTAAAATGTTATCGTTGCTGGATATATTTTTCTAAGTTTTTAAATTATTTTTGATCAATAAGTGTATAAGCAAATATTTAAAATATAATATTTTCATTGAAAGAGTGATGACAAATGTCGCTCATTTTTGAGACCTTAAATTTCAAACTTTTTTTCATCATAAATAATACTATTAGATGAAACGTTAATTCTAGTAATATTTCAAGCATATATAGATACGGTTCCGGAGATATGAAGAAGCGAATGTGATAGTTTGTCATCTTTGACTAGAAATCATCACTTTCACCCCCGTATCTCCGGAACCGTATAACATAAAAAAGTTTGAAATTTGAGGTCTCAAAATTCGACTCTATAAAACGGGCGAAAAAGCAGGTCATTTTGCCACTCTTTATTAATATTTACCGTAAAATATTCAGTTTTTTCTTTCAACACTGGAAAAGCACTACATATATATTCCAGAGCTTTAAAGAAAGGATACCATGCTATATAATCTTCTTCTTGATACAAATACGATGTGATGTTCCAGAATATATAGGAACGAAGATGGCCTGCTATCATTAAATTAAATGCATCATCGATAATTTGGGCACGATTAAGAACATGAATTTTCTTGTAATTATGGGAGTGTAGATAATTTGTAATTCTTTGCCAATTCTCTTCATCATAGTTAACGCGATAATATCCTGTCGAATAGTAAATAAATTTTATCAATTCTTATTGTTCTGAATAATTTTATTATTATTTTACTTATTTTTAAACTTATTTCAATTTTTGTTTCATACTTTCTTTATATAAATTATAAATTAAAAACGTATCAAAAATTTAATACATATAAATAAAATGCAAATACATACGGAAAATTAATTTTAATTAATAAGGACGCGTTACGAGGTGGTAAAGAAAGGTGAACGTATTACGAGGTGGTACAGAAAGTGATGAAGGAGGAATTAGTAGTATAAAGTAGTAAAGGAGGAAAAGAAGAGAGGAGGTATGAATATGGTCGAGAAGTGTGGATGTAAAAATGGAATTGAGAAAAAATAGATGGTTACGAAGGATTATAGAGTTGATGATAGAGATGTCGGGATGGTGAGAAAGGAGAATAAAAAAGATTTGATGGAAAGAAAAATAGGTGTTACGAGAGGAACGAGAGAGGATGTAGTGGCGGGAGAAGAAGTACGGTTGATGGAGAAGAAAGTAGGAGGGAGGAGGGTTAGGAGAACAATAGTGGAGGTAGTGGCAGAAGAAGAGATACAGATAGTGGAGAAGAGAGCGGAGGAGAAGAAAAGACAAACAGAGAGAAACAAGAGAAAGGAAGCGGAGGTAAAGAAGAAGTAGAAGAAGAGAAAGGAGAAGGTGAAGAAAAAGAGAAGAGAAGAAGGAGGGTGGGGAAAAAGATGGGAAAAGTATTTATTGTAGAAATGTAGAAAGTGGTGGACAAAAAGGAATTTTTGGAAAAAGAGTGGATGCTGAAGAGATGTGGGATTGGGATAAATGTAGGTTTGACGATGGTGAAGAGGTAAGTAAAATGATGGCTAGAGGAAAGAGCAAAAGGAGAGAAATTAGGAAAAAAGTAGAAAAAGAGAATAGAAAGGGAAGGATCGAGGAAATGAAGAGAGTTAGAGATGATAGAAAGAAGAGAGATAAGGAGAACTGAAAAGTGGAAGGAGACGATTAGGAAAGGCGAGGCAGAGAGAGTAGAAAGTACGTTTTGTTTTTTATTAAAGGAAAGAAGGGAAAAAGGAGACGGAGGTTAAGGTCAAAGAAAGGAGAAAGGAGAGAATAAGAAAATGGCAATTATGTGTGTGTAATATAAAGACGAGGAATAAGACGTATTAAGTCCCTTGGTCAGTATTTACCAATTTGTTGCATATTGAATATCATCCAACCATCCTCATTAAATGATAATTTCAAATCTTCTGTCGCGCATACCATATGATGAGTAAAATTGTTAAAATTGAGAGACGCTTGCGTAGTAAAAGTTACAGGAAGACAGTTAATTTTTAATTTGTTGATATTTTGAATCGATACATTTGCTTTCCTATAATTTTGTGTTATTTTATGATAGGACAATACGTTTCTATATGCCAATTATTCGTTATTTTTACAGCATAATCTGGTTTTTCTGCAGCAGCAACAATTTTATTCCAAAAATTTGGAGTACTTTGACGATGTAATTGGTCAAATTCACACAATATGTAAAATATATAAAGAAAAAATAACAAATATGTTAAAATTGTCTATATAATGTTAATTTTATAAAAAATTGTAATATGGTAAATACTAAAAATCAAAATATAAAATTGCAAAATACAAAATATAAATTTATATATAAATATAAATTGAGTGTCAAACAGGCAATAAGAGCTAAATCGCGGATGACAGTGCGTTATCCCAACGAAACTAAATTTTTTCGTTGGAATTAAAAACCTGTGCACACAAAATCTCTTGTAGAGATTATTCCAATTTTAAATCTTGGCCGTGTTCAAGTAAAATTCAGTGCCTTGTGCACAGGTTTTTGATCCTAACGAAAAAATTTAGTTTTGTTGGGATAACGCACTGTCATCCGCGATTTGGCTCTTATTGCCTGTTTGACACTCAATTTATATTTATATTTATATTACAGAGGCTTGTTAAATTTTTAATAAATATATATATTTATATATTTTATATTTATATTATGATAATAAAGAATATAACATAATTTTAAATAAAAGAGTGATGGAAAATGTCGCCCATTTTTGGGACCTCGAATTTCAAACTTTTTTTTATGCCAAATAGTACTATCAGATAAAATATTAATCACAGTAAAATTTCAAGATGAGCATAGACACGGTTCCGGAGACACGGGGTAAAGTGATGATTTTCAGTCAATTTTATGAGAAATTATCACTTTCACTTCTTCATATCTAAGGAACCGTGTTTATGCTCATCTTGAAATTTCTCTGGGATTAATGTCTTATCATATAATATTATTGGGCATAAAAAAGATTGAAATTTGAGATCCCAAAATTCAACCTTATAAAATGGGCGGAAAAACAGGTCTTTTTACCATCACTCTTTAATAACTTTATTCAATTTTTTAGGCATTATTAGCATTAATATAGATTATATTTGAGCAAACTATTGAGAGAGTTATAAAATTATTAAAAAAAGAAATAAAACAAATCAGACAAGTTGAAGACAAAACAAAAAGAAAAAAAATAATATAAAGGAAATTGTTTTACAAGAGACAAAAATAAAAATAGAGAAGAAATGAAAAAGAAATGTAAAGTGTTAGATATTTAAAAACCTGATAAATAAGACTAAAAAATAAATGTAACACAAAATGCAATTAAAAGAAAAGAAATTATTAGAATTATAGACCATATGATGAAATAAAGGAAAAATAAAAAGAGTAAAAACATTTAGAAATTATTTTAGACAATAACAGGTCATGAAACAAGAATAAAAGGTAATTATTGCGATATAGGAAGCCATCTCTGATTTCGATGATCTTGCCATATGTTGTCAAGGTTACTGTCATGAGTAAGTATCAAAAGGTTTTAAGCGTCGCTCATTGTTTACCAAAAGTTATTAAAAATAGTTTACAAAATAAAACTAATATTTGTGACATATATACATTTAAATATATTATATGTTTGGACGCGTAATAAAGTAAAGGCGTGGGTCATGAGGGTGCTTGAGGCTCTGCCAGTCGGGGAAGAGGCTCCGCCTCTACCCCTGTAACCCCACTTTCCTCAAAAATATCTCTAACTCATTTCCGAAGAAAAAATTTTAAACAACATTTCTGATATTTATATAAGAATTTTTTGCTTTTAATCAAAATAACTGCTATATTTTAAAACTTTTTTGTTAATAACTTTTTTATAAACAATGAGCGACGCATAAAACTTTTAATACTGAAGACAGTGACTTTGACAACATATGTCAAGATAATCGATATCGGAGATGGCTCCCTATATCTCAATAATTACAAAATAAAACAACAATGTATATATGTATATGGAAAAGTGACAACAATAAAACAATTCTTTTTTCTTTCTACGGAAACAGTTTGCATAGAAAAAGTGATAGAATTAAAAATAAATCTAGTAGCAGAATTAGGAAAATAGCGGAATTGTTAGATTTTAAAAAATATTAGAAAATAATGTCAGAAGAAGCCGAAATATAAGGGACATTTTATAAAACTTCTATTGTAAAACATTATTTATATTACACAATTTTATTTTTCTGATTTTATATTTTATGTCGAATTACTCACGTGCTATTTATATATGAGCGAATGCTTTTCTGAAATGTTTCTTCGGTGAGGGCGTGTTGCAACATGCGCAATATAAAGGGTGCTATGATTTAGATCAAAATTATAAATTAGATATATTATAAATATATATTTACTATAATGATTACTTGTAAACATAGTGATTTTTTAAAGAAAAATGATATATTTGTATACCGGGTAATAATAGCGCAAGAGTAAAATGTTTTTTGTATTACACGTGCAGGCAAAGTGGCACTTTGTGTGCGTGTTTTCTCTGCGGAAAGCGGCCGATTTCCCACGCCGTCATCTAGCGGCGACGCGGTGAGTGAATAAGCCGCGTTCAAAGCCATTGTCTACGGCTGAAGCCGTAGTGGACAATGACTTTGAACACGGCTATTCCTGCACGGTGCCGCCGCAAGATGGCGATCAGCCACCTCGCGCACAGAAAACGCGCACAAAGCCACTTTGCTTGCACTTATAATACAAAATAGTATGTGTATCACGTGCGGATTGACAATTGTTCACTCGTGTGAAGGTGATCGCACTTGCCTTCGGCTCGTGCGTCCCCGCACTCGAGACCAATTGTCAACTTTCCACACTTGATACACAATATATATATTATTCATCGCACTGTTTATCCATTCTATTTTATAAGTAAACTCATTAATACTTACGAAGATAGCAAAACTTTAAAGAACCATTCAATTAATTCCCTCTACCTACATATGTGCGAGTATTACCAGACACTTTGTGTGTGTATTACCTTATTAATACAACTTATTATTTTGGTAATGAATATTGCGAAAAATCGATTTATAATAATTAAATTAATTTATAATAAATAATAAATAATTAATAAAAATTAAGTTAGATCCATATAAAAAAAACATGAATAATCTTCAAATTACCTTGACAATCAACCTTCAGAAAAAAGTCAGTAGGGTTCAGTTGTTTGTCTTTAGGAATCATACTACTTTTATTTAAAACGTTTTCTTTAAAAATCAAAGAAAAGTGAGCTTTATTGACCAACACTGGCTAGATGTAAAAATCTTTATTACAAAAGAGACGACGTTTCGACCCTAAATTGGGTCCTCTTCAAGCTCTTATTTAAAAAAATAAAAAACTACACGCTTATAATGTCAATCTATAATGAAAGATCGAATATAACACAAAATAATACGTTTAATATGGAACGAAGTGTTCCCTATGACAAACTGAACAAAACCAAACTTTATACGTATTATTTTATGTTATATTCAATCTTTCATTATAGATTGACACTATGAGCGTTTAGTTTCTTGTTTTTTTAAATAAGAGCCTGAAGAGGACCCAATTTAGGGTCGAAACGTCGTCTCTTTTGTAATAAAGATTTTTACATCTAGCCAGTGTTGGTCAATAAAGCTCACTTTTCCTTGGTTTTTAAAATTGGACTGGCAATTACATCTCATTTCTGGTTTTTCTTTAAAATAAACTGTTCAAAAAACCTTTGTATGGATATTTTAAAATGGAATAGTTGATGTATATACGCACGCACACATATACACACACGTACACATGCACACACATATTCACATACACACACACGCACACGCTCACGGAAATGCGCATGCATACGCCCATGCACACGCGCGCGCATGCACACGCGCACGCACACATGCGCGCGCACACACACACACACACAAATTAATTTATTTAAAAATATACTTATGTACAAAGATTCATTGAATAATTTATTTTAGGGAAAAACGTTGTAGATAAAAGTTGTATGATTTCTAAATACAAACAGATGATCTATTAACATTTTTTAAAGGCTGCTTGGAAGATCATTTGAAGAATATTTAGGTTTTTTTAATAAATCTATTTTAATTTTTTTTTAATCGGTTTCTCGCAATATTCATTACCAAAACATTAAGTTGTAAGGATAAGATAATTATAAAGAGAATATTTTACTATATATTTTATATCTTTAACACATTACTTTACGAGTACATAATCGTAAATATCTCATGAAATATTGTTTTTCGTCAATCATGCGTCAATAATTTTGTATATAAAATAATGAGAAAAATCAATATTTTTTCAAAGAAACCCACATAGTTTTCAAGAAAAACTGTGTAGCGGCTAGTTGCAAATTACATACATACACATATGTATTGTTTATATGCATAAATACATTAAATATTAATGACAGAATATACGTTCATACGTGTGCGCGTGCGCCTTTGTGTGTGTGAGCGTGTGCATGTACGTTGCGTGAGCATGTGGTGTACGTGTGTGTGCGTGTGTGTATGTACTATTGTAAAAATAAAATTTAATTAAAATTTAGATACAAATTAATTATCTTCTAACTTTACACACATTTTAAAGTATTCATAGTTAAAATTTAGGTAGATTATTTTATTATATATTACCTCTGATTGAATTAAAAATGCGTTTGTATGTGTGTGTGTGTGCGCGCGCGCGTATGTGTGTACTTTTATAAAAATAACATTTAATTAAAATCCAGATAAAGAATTAATTATCTTCTAACTTTACGCATATATTTTATTATTTTAATAGTTAAAAATTTACGCCGTATAGTTTATTATATTACGTATACCTCTGATAGAATTGGGAATTTCCAATAAACTGTTAACTTGTGAAGTAGAAGGCCGCATATGGTAATCACCATCCAAATTAAAAGAGTAATGTTGATTTTGAACAACAAATAAATTTATTATTCGATAATCTGGAAAAGTCTATAGAAAAAAAACAATTAGTATATCGATATCCGTTTTGATACTTGCATTAATACAAATATTAATATTATTAACGTTACTTTATTGATAAAATAAAACATATCTTATCTTAGCAAACATATTAAATTAAATAAAATAATGAAATCTAAAATTTTGTAATATTAATTGAATTATGAATTTTGTAAAAAGAGTTTGATTTAAGAAAAACTTGTAATATATGAATGTATAAGTATTGTATCATTTACGAGAAGGTCGAAACGAGATTGCGTTCAAAATAATTAGAATAACCTTATTGACAGCATATGTTGCAAGCAATGTAGTAAGACCTTCTTTAAACCAAAAATCTGATACTGATGGATTGTTCATCATGTTAATAACCATTGCTGTGTCACCTTACGTCCTATTAATTGAGTTACTTTAATTTTATAAGCAACAGGATATAAAGCTTCATTGTAGATGATATCTGTTTCTCTGGAAGTTATATTTAAATGTTAAGACTGAAAACTTTATAGAAAATGAAACTTTATTTTTGTTAGAATATTATAATTTTATTGTTAGATGTACGATTTACAAACTCATGGGTACAATTTAGCACACTAGTATTTTAAATCTATTCAAATAATATATTTTTTTATTTTTTAATTTAAATATAAAACGACGATAAATATCTGTTTATATGTATATCGTTGACAAAGAACAATAGTTTGAAATAAATAAAATAATGTCATTTCTTTTATACCTATAACTTTATTGCAGTTTTAAAATCTATCTTAAGAGGTACGATTTAGCATACATACTTTTCCATTTATGTACGCATAAAAAAGTAAACTTTAATTTTGTAATAATATGAATAAAATTAATTTTACTAAAACTGTTTGTTTTCGCAAATCCTTATTTTGAACATTTAGAGAAACAAAAGAAGTACATATTTTCAAATTTGATAATTTTACATTTCTAATATAATTTTATTTTTAATGTAATATTAAGCATATATGTACTCACCTATAAAGAACTGGTCCGAGAATTATAGTGTCGTTGTCATGAAAATTCGGAATTAAAACATGATTTACCATCGAAATATGGTCCAAATGTTTCCATTCATTTATAAAAAACAACGTGATTGTTTCAACTACATTATTTGCAAATATCATGTCGATTACAGTATTATTTCTGCACCACATATTACTGATTTGATTTTCGATATAATTATATAATAGATAATTAGACACAATTATTGTTGGGTGATAAGTCAACATTACAGGTGTGAAAACGATGTGTTCACATAATATATTCTGCTTATATCTTTCAATAATCGTCTTTTTCAATGGCATATATGACAAAGCCGCACATTGATTACATTTTATCGAAATATTAAAGGTTGTTTGTAACAATAAATCCTGTTGATGCCAACATGGAAACAATCGTCGGTCGCTTATTATCTGGATACGCAGATTACCTACCCAACTATAATACATTTCAAAGACATATACTAATGAAATTTTTTCGACAAGCATCAAAATATTAGGAATTAAAAAATGTATAAATGTTATATGCGTCAACACATATTATATTTTATGACTTTATTTTAATAATAAAAATAAATATTGTTCCTTACTTCCCCCCACACACACTCACACTTAGATTTAAATTCCGCGATATATAATAAGTTTTGGGACATTTAATACATAATAGTATATTAATTAAAACGTCTTATGTGTAATTGCATATTGTACTCTTTTTTTATTAATAAACATAAATTATTTACTTACGTAGATCCTTCTTTCACATCGAAAATTCTAAAGACTTTATCAGCAATACCAAAATATTTTATATTTAAGCTGTAATTTCCTGGTGATAACTCATTCTTAAATAAATTTTAATTGTGTCTTTTTCAATATTATATGTCGGTTTATAAACTGTATCTTTATCATGCTCATGATATCTTTCAAAATTTTAATTATAATTATATTTTTAATACATAATTGTTCTGAATGTAAATATATGTGTTTCGTTTTGTTTAGAATGTTTATGCTGATATTGTATTCTCCATAGAAAATATTTCCTTCCATAAATGTTGAAAGCATAATATTGTAATGCATTGGTATTACATAGTTTGATGTTGATAGCATAAAGAATTACGAATGGAAGCCGTCGAAGCGATAAAAATTAATCCGCTACTTAGTAATAGTTTTAGAAATATCATCATGTCGGAGAAAAGGAATATTTATTTTAGATCTAGAAAACACACTGCTGGAAAACAAAAGATAAATAAAAAAATTAAATATATCTTTGATGTATTTTTAAATGATTTTTGTATATAAACAAGTAAATAAATATAAAAAGTATTAGAATTATTAATTGAACAACTATTCTAATTAGCGGAATATTATATGGTGAGCAAGTAATGTGCAAATTGCCATTTGTACAATTGTTTAAATATAATTATATATATATATATATATATATATACATATATATAAGTATGTATGTACAATATTTCAGTGTCGCATATTTTTTTGTATTTGTAGACAAATATATGTTTTTTATTTTTAACTTATTTTGACTTACCCATATTTTGGTACAGTATGTTTAATTGCAGAAGTATATTAATATAAATGATATAATTTTTTAAATTAATTGCAACAAATTAATGTTTTAGCAGTATGCAATGTTGGCAGAACACAAAATTTCACACATACTTTGTTACAATCTTTATATCTATCACGGTATGGTTTGGAAGATCACGAAAGACTGACTGATTCTCTGTACGTTTTATCGTGATAAATATATTGTGTAGGTCAACAAAATTCTGAGGTCGTTAATATGCACGTTTGCGTGTGCGTGTGTGTGTGTGGCAGCATTTGTGTGTAATAGTTGTCTTAATTAAACATCTTCAAATTTCGTTCAATTAATCATAAATTATGCATTATTAACAAATTTATATCCCGCTTATTTGAAAAAAAATGTAAGCAGTCTTTCTAGTTCTCTATTTCTAATAGTAATCAAATTAATATGCATATTTACAAATGTAGTAATTTGCAAATGTAGAATCGTACCATAAAAAAACTTATCTTTTAAAAAAAAAGTCCATGCGCCATGTGAAAAAGAAATAAAAAAATTTTAGTTAAAAAAACTGGGCGCGCTGCTAAGTTTCAAAATTACAATGCACCTTAAAGTAACATTAATTAATTTAAACACAAAACATATTTTAACTGTAATGAGTTTAAAAGTAACAATTTAATTTTAATATTGTTAGAATATTATTTAGCAGCGCTCCCAGTTTTTTTAACTAAAATTTTTTTATTTCTTTTTCACATGGCGCATGGACTTGGCATCTTGTTTATCTTTTTTTTTAAAAGATAAGTTTTTTTATGGTACGATTCTACATTTGCAAATTTAAATTTTTACTGATTCATTATACGACTCTATATATGTCTGCAACTTTAATTTTCCACTGGTACAAGTTTCTACTTTCACTTGGCGCAATTTTTTTTTTATTTCATTACTTTTGTTACGATTGTACATGGGTTTATAATCGATAATTTTTCATACAATTCTATTGTACATGGGTTTGCAATGTAGGATTCTACATAAGTTTGCAATGGATAATTTTTAATACAATTCTACATGGGTTTGCAATGGTTAATTTTTCATAGGATTCTACATGAGTTTGCAATGGTTAATTTTTCATAGGATTCTACATAGGTTTGCAATGGGTACGATTCTACATGGGTTTGCAATGGTTAATTTTGCCTAGGATTCTACATGGGTTTGCAATGATTAATTTTTCATAGGATTCTACATGGGTTTGCAATAGGATAGGATTCTACATGGGTTTGCAATGGATAATTTTTGTTAATGGCGTGCCCTTAACTGGTCGCCTTTTTTTACCTTTTTTTAAAGGTGAGTTTTTAGAGATTATATCATTCATTTTTGTATATTTTTATGACCGGAATAGAACAATTATTAAACATGTTTATCTAAACTTCTTTGCTTAAAATGATGTGTACAATCATATCCTAGAATCCTGATCATTCCTCCTAAAGCACCCTATTTATATAAATTTACCCATATGTGTGTGTGTGTGTGTGTGTGTGTGTGTGTGTACTAATGTCGAGCATTTTTTATACATTTTCTATTAAATTTAGATAAAAGTTGCAGGATTTCGAAAAAGAAAAAGTTGACACAGACTTTTTCCTAAACGGCGATTTTCAAGGTTATTTAAAGGTCACTTATATTTTCAAAATAGAATTACCTTAATTTTTCTCATATAAATCGATTCCTCGCAATATTTACTATAAAAAGTTGTAAAGGTATAATTTTTACATAATCTTACATAAACTTCGAAATATTACAAATATTTTATTTTATGAAATATTTCAGTTTATGTAAAATTATGTTAACTATCTTTTAAATTATTCACTTTTAGCCATCTTACCCTTACAACCTTTTATAGTGAATATTGCAACAAATTGGTTTATATATATAATATATATATAACATCAGTTATTATTAATTGATGTTTACATTTATTTTTAGACTTACTAGAGCTCAAATGCTCCACATTTTTTGCAAAAACTGTTTATTCTACAGATTTCAAATATGCTTTTAAATGATGATTGAATATTTCCTTTTTTTAATTATTTTTATTATTATTTTTCAATCTCAATCAACTTTTATAACTTTATGCCAGCACGATACAAATACATGTGTCTTTATTTTTTTTATTATTTTCATTATTATTTTTCAATCTCAATCAACTTCTATAACCTTATGCCAGCAGGATACAAATACATGTATGTCTTTATTATTGTATCAACTCTTGTCTTTTCCATGTAACCATGTCTTCATAGTTTGAATTATCCCTTCATCTTCTCAATCTTTCGCAGAGATTTAATTAATTAAATACACTTCACACGAAATAAAGTTTGCTGGAAGATATACAGCAAACGATAACTGTAAAAACATGATTACGTGGAAAGAACAAGAGTTGGTACAGTAAAGGCAAGTAAGTAAGTACATGTAATGTATCGTATTGGCATAACGCTATATCCGCGGAGCAGATAATGTGGCTGTAGAGGTAGTCTGCAGTGCAGCTAATGTGGACGTAGATGTTGATTGAGATAATTGTCTAATATAAAATAGAATTTAAAAATTTAGTTTAAAAAGCTGTTGCATATATAAATAAAGTTTATTTTTTCTAAATTTGGAATATGTTTAATTAATTAATTTTTTAAGTCTATGTTTAATAAATTTTTTAAGTCTGTATTCAATAATTTTATTCATTTGATAAATACATGTATGTCTTTATTTTGATATGTTTAATATAATTAGAAATTCATTATTAATTAGATATGTAAACTATAAATTCATATATAATATTTGAAAATATATGTGAATATTTAAATTTTTATCTTCTCCTTCCTCTCCTTCAATCTCTTTAATATCAATATGTGTATGTGTGTACACGCGCGCACATTTGTACGTATTTATTTAATTATTGGATAGTTGAGAGTACTTAATTGATAAAAAATTATGACAATAATAATCCTTGTTTTTTTTTCTTATTATTTACTCAGATTTTTTTGTCTATCTTATAAGATAAACACTTTAGAGATTGAATATTTCAAGTAAACTAATTGTAAGTAAATTTCACATTAATGCATATAGATGTTTAATCATGAATGTACTAAATAAGTACACAAGACGAACAGTGAGTGAGTGAGTGAGAATGAGAGAGAGTGTGTGTGTGTGACGAGTGTGTGTGAGAGAGAGAGAGAGAGAGAGAGAGAGAGAGAGAGAGAGAGAGAAGAGAGGAGAGAGAGAGAGAGAGAGAGAGGAAG